CATCCTAAGCAATGACTAAAGACACCGAAAAAGGAAGAACACAATGCTGATTTCAGCAAATATCCATACTTCCACAACACTTACTCACTGTTAGACTTCACAAACTCGTTGTGTAAAGAAACGTTGCAAGAATAGCCATGGAAATGACACAAAGAATGAAGTGAGCAATGATCTTCCTCCGCCCCCAATAGAGGTAACATTGGATTTGGCCACAGCACCTGCCATTAGGGCCTGACACAGTTTGAAATACTGCATGAACAATAACTGAGTCTCATCTCTGATATATTTCAGTGTTTGAGTTATTCTAAATCCTTTTATCATGTTCCTGTTGTTTGACTTTATCTGAATGGATTATGTTTGAACAATGTACATAGATAAATAGATATGCTAATAATAAATACAATAGTTAATTAGATACAAAAGACAGGGATCCAGCAGCATAGCCTACAATGAGCTCTAGACTCAAAATGGTTACAAATATAACTGAAAATTGTACTATGGGCACCAAAAAACACAGGGAACAAATCGGTGATATATATATCCTTCTACTGGTTCTCTCATGGGTTTACTTTTATGTGGCTAGAATACATTTGTTAATGTAGATCAAGAGAATGGTGAAAGAAAGGAAAGAAAAAGTTATGCGTTCTATTCTAGTAGCTAGGATGGGGGTGGACGGGTGGGTGAAAGGGAAACGTAGGTTTCAATCTGATGAAGCTCATGCTGTGCTCCAGTTTTATGGTGCAAGGTTGCTGACATTTTCTCAAGCAATAAATGAGAAATGTCACATAAATTCATCATCTCTGAATTCAGTCTTTCTTTTACAGGCTGGCTGCCTCTTTCGCTAGTCCTTTAGTTAGCTCATACTTTGCTCGGGTGTCTTGGCCATGGTGTGGATTTGTCTTCCTGCAGAACTAGCAGACTCTGTAAGCCAGGAGAGAACAAATAAGGATGTTTAATTTTGAGCCCTGTAAGACTTGTAGTTCTTGCTCTTTTCCAATTCCTATGGTCCCTGCTTCTGAAGAGTCTACCCACAGTCAGAGGTTTTGGCAGGACTCACCATCCAGCACCATCTGATGGATCACCTACTAAAGCCTGAAGACTTAAACCTGCCCATAGATCCTAGAGATATTTACAAAAATTTCATAAACGACATGTCCTCCAGAGCTACTTGCAAGTACAAAACCTCACTAAAGATAAAAGAATAAAAGAAATGTAAGGTTTTAGAACAAGTTTCCAATTAAATTTGATTTGCTGGGGGGAAAACCAAAGCAAAACAGAATATCTGGAAAGTTAAATACTTCCATTTCTCAAGCATGGTATCTTGAAACACTTCGTTTCACTGACAGCATTAATAAACAAAAGTGAACACTGTGGTGGAAGCCTAGATTTAAGAAATGTCAAGGAAAAAGAAGAAACTGTGGTAGAAAAATTTGGATTGTCACTGTTGTTACATGGCACTGTAGCTGCAACCTGGTAATGTGCAATAAACAGTTTGCTTTGAAAAGCACTTAGGTTATGGAATAAAATCACATGCATCAAAATTATGGCATAGCCTTCTGTATTGCATAATGTATTGCTTAAGAGAAAATAGAGAATAGCTGTTTCACATTAATACTGTGTCACACGGGCAGGTCATGAATGCCAACAATGAATGAAATTTCACTGGAGAAAGCAAAACAGGAAAAAAGTTTCTGATTCAGTCAACTTCAAAAAAATCACACTTCATTCAGAGTAATTTTTTAAACTATTATTGTTCCAAGCAAGATGACTGTAACTAAAAGAGGCTTGACAGAAGGAGGATATTTTTACTATGTCAAGTGTCAGCCCTTTGGATTTAATCAAAAGATCATTAAAGTCACTTTGCCTGTAATTTCTCAAGTATAGTCAGGCTCCTTATTTCTGTGGATTTTTCTTACAGCAACAGGCAAAAGAAATATTTTTAATTGGCTGAGGCACTCCGGCACCGAAACTATTTTAATTACTTGCTTCTAAACATAGAATACGTATAGAATTTACTTTAATGCTTTATTAAATCTTGCTGCAATACTGAAATTTTCCATTTAGCCTAAACACAGTTTTACAGATTAAAAGAAATAAAATTGAAGGGAAAGCAAGCCCACACTCTTTATTACGTTCGCCTTTTTTTAGAATGACAAAATTAAAACAACACCCACATAAAATATAATTGCCAATATCATTCCACTTCATTTTTCAGAGCCAAAGAAGACAAAATCCATCATTCCCACCTCCAGGTCAGCTGCTCAGCTCTTTATTTTCCGCTGAGATAACTGCCATATCTATCTCTGCCCAGAAGAGGAGCCAGTGAGAAGAGCTAGATGTTAGGGACCTTGCACTGAATACGTTGGGCTGAGAGGACTAACCTTCTTGAATTTCAAGAGTACTAAGGAATGTGCTGGATCAGACACCAGGGAGGTGCTTTTTTACATAATTACCACAATTTTTTAGTAGAAGATTGCCTCAGGCCCCCTGTGGCTATGAACTGCTGGGCTGCAGGTCTTCTTTGCAAAGCTTTTGCTTAATTAACGAGGGGAAAATACATTTAAGAACAATGGGTGAAAGGCACTTGAGTAAGAGAGGGGCTACACGCAATGTTTCATTTAAACCACATGTGTAGACCACAGGGCGGTGGTTCCCCAGCTGCAGCCCATCTACCTTTTGCAGCAGATCATATGGTACGTGGCTGGGTGCAGACCTGGGAGCTGCCTGCCAAAAACTACTGATGATGCAAGTGGAATTCACCTAAGTGCTCTGTAGGCTTACACCACAAGGAATGATTTATCACCATATTATTTTGGGTAGAGGCTCATTAAGTGGCAACAGGCACCAAGCTGGAGTAAGGTTTGCTATCATCTACTCCTACTTATCCCGTCCAAAAATGCAGCAAGCATTGGAAGAAAGCAAACCTCTGCTCCAATGGACCTCCAGAAGGCAACAACGGAGGTGGAGTGGCACAGACCAGGGTAGATAATGGGGCCTTGGTTGCCAGGCCTTGCTGGAGCTCTGGTACTATGTACTACTACTCTTAGCAGTATAAAGCCAGCACGGATATGCCTGCTGATACGACAAATGAATCTTCATTCTGGTATCTAGAGATGCACAGGTGTTGAGTGAAGCTGAACCTTGCTTGGTATTACAGACGTTGATGGTCAATCGCTGGTGCTGTTGGACCTGGCAGTGCCATGGAGATGTGGCAGATTGAGGTAGGAGTTAATCGGTCTTGATCCGGTCACACTTTGCTGCTAATAAAATTACCCCATTTAGCTCAGCATTGTTTTGTAAAGTTCTACTTCTGTGCCAACGCAGTTGAAGTGGCACACTCACAATTATACTAACTTTTGCAGCGAAGGCAAGCTCTAGAAGGCTGAAGCCATGCAGAAGTCTTTACTGAAGAGTTGTACAGTCAAGTACGTTTTGTCCTCTTTGTGAAGACTGTATCATCATTTTGTTTACTGTTACAAACTACAAAAGAACACAGTGGAATTCCAATTACCGTGTGGTATTAAATCTTATGTGTGAGGAACTGCTTGGATTGGGATTTTGTGGCTGGTGGCCGTGGGGGTCTGAAAGGGCCATTTGTGTTTTGTTGTGTAGAAGGACTTAAGGCCTCACATCAGCAATGCACAACTTCCTCTAAACTGCTGTTTTAAAAGTAACTTTAAAAAAAGTATTTGAAATGTCAATGTGTTTGTTCTGAATGTAACATTTACACGGGGAAATATTACCCCCCCTTTTATTTTTTTCCTTAACGTAATTTTTGATTTGTAGTTGCCTGAAAAGCACGGTACCAAATAATTCGCTCCTCCTTCGGTACATTCCCGTTGACTTCGAAAGACTGTAAGAAGGAAAGTGCTTGGTTTTGGTTTATTAACACAAAAGAGGAACACGATATAAATAAACTCGATGACTCGAGTGTGCCATCGCTTTGTTAACCCGAAAGTTCCCAGTTTGTGTCAGCGTTCGCATGGGCTCTGGCTGCTCCCCCAGCCTTGATCCATCTGCCACGGCCACAGTCGCGACTGAGATGGCGATGGGATAACCATCATTTTCAGGGCAAAAGGCTGCAAATCCAGCATTATTTTTTTTTTTTTAATAATGGAGAGGACACATTTACATGGAAGTTCTTTGTGTTTTAAGTTGCCTGGCCAATTTAATGCTGCTTCGAATGACCTAAACTGCAGAAAAACCCAAACCCTGGCTTGGTCATACAGCACGGACGTATGTGGAGTTATCGTTGTCCACAATTTTGAAGAATTTTAAAGGCTGTTTGAAAAGCCCAAGTTAAATTCTTAATGTGTTAAGTAGGTGTAACACAAGACTTGAAGAAACAAGCAAGGGGAGCCGACTCAGTGCCTGCGGCTCATCCTGTGGCCCAGACCGCCCTGAGGGCCGGGCAGAGGAGGGGGCGGCTGTGTCGCCCCAGTTTGGCAAGAGCAGGACGTGGGGAGGCACCACCTCTTCCCCCTACACCGCATCGATCCCCTGGCCACGCCGGGAGCCTCCACCCTGCCTTCCCTGAGGGGAAGCCACAGAAGCCTTCCTTCCCGGGGAAGAAGGAGGCCCGCCGCCCGGAAACTACAACTCCCGTGATGCTCCGCGCGCAGCTGCTGTGCCCGACGGGAGCTGCCACCTCTCACGGCGGGAGGGGGCGACCCGCTTCCCCGGCGCGGGCGGGCGCGCGTGCGCAGGGCGGGCGCGGAAGGG